TTTGATATTAAAGAGTTTTTTGGGTTCATTGAGAACATGGTTGTTGTTCAATAATAAAATTATTCCTCAAAAATGCAACTTGCCTAATAATTCTGCACTCCCTGTAGAACCTGGTACCCTGGTACTCTCTTTTTCAAGAGAATTTGTACAGTTTAATATCTGAAAAAGGCTGCACATGGAAGCAGGCAGAGTGGTTGAGACATAATGCTCAGACATTTATCCAAAAGAGTCCAGTGTTTTTTTCAATTAGTTTTATAACAACCTGTGATGTTTGGAGAGTCAGCACATGTGATTTTTGTGGAGTGAATTTACATTAATTTACACTAATTTGATGTTGTTTTCTTGAAAGCAAAATGATGGCCAGTTCACAGTGATACAGCTGGTGGGAATGTTGCGCGGCATTGCAGCAGGAATGAAATACTTGTGTGACATGAACTATGTCCATCGAGACCTGGCAGCGAGGAACATCTTGGTCAACAGCAACCTAGTGTGCAAAGTGTCTGACTTTGGCCTGTCACGTTTCCTTGAAGAGGATACTTCAGACCCCACTTACACCAGTGCTCTGGTGAGTCCTTATCAGTGACTATGGAGACCTTCATTCAGTACATTTCGTTTATAATACTTCAAATTGTATTATAAATTCTGTCATAAATGAACTTCTTCTTCTTCTTAGGGGGGAAAGATTCCCATCAGGTGGACAGCACCAGAGGCCATTCAGTACAGGAAGTTCACCTCCTCAAGTGACTGCTGGAGCTATGGCATAGTCATGTGGGAGGTGATGTCATATGGAGAGAGGCCCTACTGGGACATGAGTAATCAAGATGTGAGTAAAGCCCTTTAAAATTACTGGCATTTGTGTTTAAGATAAACAATGATAAACTGCCAGGTAGTGGTAGTTGTTCCCTTGGGCTTAGCAGTTTCAGTTAAGTAGTTTCAATTTACTGCCAAAAGAATGTGATAACGGCCCATTATTGCTTCTGTAGTCAGTCAGAGAAAATCTTTTGTGACTGAAATTGTACCCTGAAATCAGCACGTCGCAGAGAAATGAGAAATGTGAACGAACTAAATAAACCTTGATGCACACTACTTGCTCCTGAAAAACAACCCCATCGCTCCGCCACCAAATTTTAAGCTTTGGCACAATACAGTTAGATAAGTACTGTTCTCATGGCAATTGCTCAAACCAGAGGCATCCATCAGATTGCCAGATGGAGACACGTGATTTGTCACTCCAGAAAACACATCTCCACTACTCTAGAGTCTGGTGGTGGCGTGCTGTAGGCCTCTGGATCCGATGCTGTTTTCAAACCCATGAAGCTCTCTATGCACTGTTGTTGAGTTAATCTGAAGGCCACGTGAAGTTTGGAGGTCTGTAATGATTTACTCTGTCCATAAAGGTAGTGACCTCCGTGGCAACCTCATACTACACAGTGTTAAACATGTCCATGTCCCAACTTATTTGAGATTCCAAATGGCTCTTTTTCTTAAAATAGTACATTTTCTCAGTTTAAACATTTGCTATGAGAATAATATATCAGTTTATCAGATTTGCAAGTCATTTCTTTTTTTCTTTTTAAATCCTGTCCTGTTTGTCAGCTTTTTGCAATCAGAATTATGATCTGAATGCATTCAGTTTTTATTTACATTTTGCACCTTATTCCAAGACTTTTGTTTTAACCATGAGTTTTCATGCAAATTGTTTTAGGTAATCAATGCCATAGAGCAGGACTACAGGTTGCCACCCCCTATGGATTGTCCTAGTGCACTACATCAGCTAATGCTTGACTGCTGGCAGAAAGATCGCAACAACCGACCCAAATTCAGCCAGATTGTCAGCACACTGGATAAGATGATCCGCAATCCCAACAGCCTGAAGGCCATGACACCATTGTCATCAAGGTATGACAGGAAGAACAATTATTTCACGCTGAGAGTTGCTGACACCCAATCATCTTTTTAACTTCTAGTTCTTTTGTCTTTTTCTATCCACCATTTAGTGTTCATTTAGCTCTGCTTGATCGCAGCACTCCAGATTTCTCCTCTTTCAGCACCGTCGATGAGTGGCTGGATGCCATAAAAATGGGCCAGTACAAGGAGAACTTCACCAGTGAAGGCTTCACCAGCTTTGATGTGGTGTCTCAAATGACCATGGAGTATGTTAGATACTTTTCTTATATCAAAAACAGAGGTCTCACATGCACACACTAGCTGATGAGTTAGAATGTGGCAACAATGGGGAAGTGTAAGGATTTGAGTGAGGGAAACCTTGGACCTTGCCATCTATGTGGATATTACTACCTACTACCTACCTAAGCATTGTTGCAGACCATGTACACAAACTGTACACCCTACTTTGATCTTAAGTGATCTTAAATGGGCCAGACCAGTGAAACTACATTATAAATGTTGTTACTCGTTAAGTTACTGTGGACTCATTAATAGTTGAAAAACAGTATCTCACCTGTCATTTCAGTGTTTAACTGTTAGTAATTGCTTTAATGTAATCTGAAAGAAACAGAAACGTATTCACGGAAACAGTATTCCCTAATGGCTATGGCCTCTTTCAGCGGGAAAATATGCCCTGCCGCAAAGGAAAAATGGTTCCGAAAAGTTGGGACTTAAAGAATCTGTTGGTAATCTCTTTGTGCCAGATACAACAGCGTGCATTCAGGGACCTACTGGTGTCTCCATGCCTTGATGGTGTTTGTAGTCAAACTTGGCACTGCTCATGTTGGTACTGGTCTAAGAATCCTTGTGTACTGCTCTGCCAACCAGGAGCTGTCGCTTTGGCTCTGTGGTGTTATTTCCAATACCTTTCTCAGGTGTCCTTACATATTGACTCATGTGTCTACTCAGCTTGGTTGAGATGAGCTTCCATGTTGTGGAGAAGCAGGTATTTAGGCAGTTGTTCTATGATGTCATACCATTATGGGGATCATGAAGGATCCCCATAATGGTATGGGGATCATGTCCCATTATGGGGGCATGATCCTCATAATGGTATGACATGACGGTTTGGAGAGTAAGGCTGAAGAAGCTCGTTGATATAAGTGGAGGCCTCTCTTTATAAAGACATAAAAGTAAGAGTGAGGATTATAAACTGATATCTAATAATAATAATTAAAGATATGGTAATAAAATTATGAGACTTTGCCAACAAAAATTAAAATAAACACTTAATATTTGCCACCATGTTAAATGGCCTGTATTTTGTATAGCGTTTTACTAGTCCCTAAGGACCCCAAAGCGCTTTACACATCCAGTCATCCACCCATTCAGGTGATTGCAAGCTACATTGTAGCCACAGCCACCCTGGGGCGCACTGACAGAGGCGAGGCTGCCGGACACTGGCGCCACCGCCAAGGACTGCCCAAGGACACAACGACCGAGACTGTCCATGAGCATGTCTATTAGGCTGTCCAAACTTTCAGGGGTAAGACTTGGATCTCACAGGTCAGCAACGTGAGCAGGACTGAACTTATCTTTTTATTTTATTTGTATCCCTCAATTGTAAAAGCATTGCTCTGCTGCCTGCCCCAGGCGGGTGACATGGACACCCAAGTTTGTGAATACAATAATTCAAAAATGAGGTGATGTATCAGATGAGTCTGAATCTTAATGATATTGACCTCAAGGTTAAGTCAGGGTTCAACTTTCCTGAAAATCACCTAGGATGTTCTCATTTATACAACAGGTATTTCTACTATGAAGCTGAAGGGTAGCACTGGCAGCTACCTGTATTTTTATTTGTTTATTTATTTACTTTGAACATTTACACGTTTGTGTGCTTTAAATTTTTCACCCATTGTCAGAATGCTCTGCTGTTCAACTATAATGTCCTGAGGTGTCTATGGTAGGAGATTACCTGAACTACCTGTGTGTGCTATTGTGCAACAGCACATAAGAGCATTCAAAGCCCAGAGTTTTTTTGGCCACACCAGCAGCCTCCCTTACTGTAGGGAGGCTGCTGCAATACCAGTTATCATACTACTTATCATACTAGTTACCATACTAGTTATCCATGTTCCCGAAATGAAAAATTAAGTTGAAGAGGTTTTTTTACACGCTAGAGGAGACCAAATGTGTGTCACAGAGACACAAGCGCAAGTGGACTTGCACTGAGAAATGTGAAAGTAACTGTTGCTTAAAGTGTTGCAGATTTAAAGGAAGACTGGTAAATTTCATGATCGATTATGGACTAAGTGCCTGAACTTTTTTAACCAACTTTGTACAATTTTATAATATACACAAAAGTTGTCATTTACATTTGGTTGTCAGTATCCACAAGCCAGAATGCCTTCTGAAATGTCAACTGTTACTCCTGTGGTATAGCTGGGTGTAATGATGGCATATGATTTGTCTTCAGGGATATCCTCCGAGTGGGAGTGACATTGGCTGGTCACCAGAAGAAGATTCTGAACAGCATCCAGTCAATGAGGGCCCAGATGAACCAGATCACCTCTGTGGAAGTGTGATCTCATAGACCAGAAGCACAAAGACTGTTCACTACAGGAAGTCCAGCTGCCAGTAACCATGCATTGAGGAACACATACACTGTGACTTCAGTTGAACCTCAGATTCACTTTTCCTCCTTCCAAACACTCTCCAAAGGCTTCCATCAGTATGCAGCACAGCACAGATGTTGAGTAGTTTTCTTGAAGCTGCTGTATATTCAGGTAACAGTCTTTTTGGGGGGCTGTTGGACATAATCACAGGCATCTAACTGTCAAACTACTACAGTACAGTCACGTGTCTTGTTAATGTTCCATCACTCTTCCACTCTCTCCACTACCAGCAACTTAAGTTATTCTTAAGAATTAATGTCCTAAAATTGGCCTTGCATTTTGAATTTTATGCAAGGAACCTGCTGTCACAGTGAACGATGATATTAAAAACAGCATAGCAGGACTCAATGAACTGGCTGGTGCAAATTACAACTTATACGTTAAGTTGAGCATATTTATTTATAGCTGCCACCTTCACCTTACTGCTACCTCTGTACCACAGTAATTGTGGCATTTTTCGTAACTATGTAAAGTTTCTTAACTATGTAAAGCTGCAAATCAGAACTTTTTGTCAGATCAAACCCAGTTTTTGGTACAGGCAATTGAACATTTACATAGATTGTATGGTGTGAATTTGAATAAGGAAGCATTGGCTAACTATGACCCTTATATTATTCAGCTACAATGTAGATGAACACACTTCTACTACCAGCAACAACAGGTGCCAAATACATCTCTCTCTCTCTCTCTCTCTCTCTCTATATATATATATATATATATATATACACACACACACACACACACACACTCACACATCATATCATATAATATCATATTATGTATATGTATGTGTGTGTGTGTGTTGTGTGTTGTGTGTTTGTGTGTGTGTGTTGTGTGTGTTAGTGTGTGTTGTGTGTGTGTGTGTGTGTGTGTGGTGAGAGAGAGAGAGAAGAGAGAGAAAGTGCAAGGGCAAGATATCATTTATCTCACTGTCCCATTTACTGCGGAAACTGTGATACGAAACTTGCAGATATGATTCTCGGTTCTGTACATGTGTTTTGGGGTTAAAGGTTTACAAGTTTTCATGTTTTATAGAAAATTGTTCAAGAGAAATACCTTTTACACCCAGTTGTTGTCTTGTACATATCAGTATATATTTTTCTTTTAAGAAAAAAAGACTGCTCTTTCATTTGGCACTTTTAAATCATAGCTGTTAAACAAATTGCTTTTCAATGTTTCTTATTCTCACATACCACTGAGAGCTATAGGCACTGGCTTGCCAACAGAAGCAAATTGGGATTTAGTGTCTTGCCAGAAGATAGTTCTAAATGATGTGGCAACTGAACTACTAACACTGTATTTAGTGACTCAACATTACTTGAATTATAGCTTCCCAGCAAGTGCTACCAATAACCAATTATTATTCTATCCTCAAAGTGATTTAAAATAACATTCAAATGTCCTGCAGATTTTGAAATCTAGAAATTTTAAAATGTCAATTCAAATGTCTCTATGTTTTGCAATCTAACAAAGGCCGTATGTAGAGGAGTGCTTTTCAAGTCATTTTCAGAACATGAAGAATAATACAAATCTTGTTAATTATGTGTTCAACAGGCTTGGCTGATAAAAACCGATGATACATATCTCTTTATTAAGCATAGCATGTATTACATTTGACACCAAAGTTTAGCCTTTAACATTAAACTCTGTGTATGATGTCTTGAGCTTGACCACCTACAGTGTAACTTTCTTGGATATATATAAAATGCACAAATTATTGCTTTCATAATTAGGAGACTCAGATCCACTTATTGTGAGAAAACAAATGATTATTCTTGCCCAAAAATAAATTCACATAATTAGTATTTCATTCAGATGTTTTCTCATTAAGAAACTGAGTAGTACTTGATAATGCAGCCCATAACTTATGGTATAATTTCATATATTTCAGATCAGAATGTAGGGTGTTTTCCAGTTGTCTAAAAATATATCTCTGTAAGGACAGTGCAACCAACTAGGGCCAGGACCAAATTGCTCTCTCCCCAGCCACCTCCTCTGGGGGAAAACCAAGGCATTTACAGCCCAGCTGAGAGACCTAATGTCTGTAGTGTGTCTTGGGTTTATCTCAGTGCCTCCTCCCAGTAGAACATACCCAAAAGGCTTGCTCAGGAGGTATCCTAATCAGATGCCCAAACCACTTAAGCTAGTACCTTTTGGTGTCTAAACTGCTCCAGTGTGAACTATAGGCCACCACCCGATAAAGCCAACAGAACCACATCAACTGCAAAAAGCACAGACAAGATCCTGAAGCCACCACAATGGAAGCCTGAGAAATTCTGTGCATAAAAATTTGAAATAGACTTACTGCCAGCAGTGTAACCAAGTTCTCACTGTGGTTTGAACAGTGACCAAATAGGGACTTTCTATAATAGTCGTTTTTTGCTTGTTTGTTTCTTGTTGTCTTTCTTTTATTTTTTGTTAAACAATGTCTTCTCCAAGTCGACAAGATACATATAGACTGGTTCGACTGGCACCAGGGGCTTTGGCCTGTGAACAAGACATCACCCTCCCCAGGCCTCACTCCAGGGCATTGTTATAGCCCAATGGTTATTTCATTTTTTTTGTTTTTGTTTAAAAAAAAAAACAGTTAACATTTGAATGGCATTTCAGAACCGAACTTATGATCCTGATTTTTATTTTTTTTTGGACACATGGATGGATGGACTTCGATGTGCTTCCATAAAGTTGAGTTTCAAATTAAAAGCAGTCAGCTAAGATTCATTTTTGGATTTGAGAGCAGTATTCAGTTGTTTAAGGAGAAACTCCATTCTCTTGCATTCCTCTTCACATGCATTGCACTTCTAAACTGATCCACGCTGCTAGGCATGGGCATGTGAAGTTTTAATGATGCATCATAGATGAATACTATCAGAGTGTCTTGGAGAACTTAGAATAGATTATCTGTGGATTAAATCTGTCAACAGATGGGTGATCTAAGAGGCCACAATAAATGAATATGAGGCTTACTTTGAAAAGCCGTAATTTCCAATTTCGTAAATCATTACTGAAAAAGTCTACAACCACTGACTGACATGATTTAAAATATGATTAGGTTTTGAGTGGTAAATCAGACTACCCATGGTTTGGGAAAATATAATGGTATAGTTGTGCAATGTTTAGGATTCTGTTTAGGATTCTGGCACCATAAGTGCATTTCTGTCTTTGCTTCCGAGAGGAAAATCGTTCAGATTGGCCATTAAAGCTATAAGCACCAAGCCTCAGAACAAAATAGCTATGCTGTGGCTCTTATGGAAGTCTTTGCAAGAAATTAGGTATCATGTCCCGTTTAGATATTGGTGTTTATACACTCTGGGTTTCTGTAGGACATAGAGGTCCTGTGCTCCACATTATTACCATAAAAGATGTGTTTCATCTATGATCTCTGTTTTGTCTTTTCTGTCCTTGTACATATTCCCTTCATGATTTGAAATGAAGCTGAAGCATACCATCATCCGAACTCAGAAATCAGTGTGGGTTGGGGTTTGAAAGGTAACATAGCTCAGAAGCCTCACAGGACCAATACAGCATTAGAAATATTTTGGGGGGTTTTTTATGTGAATTTTTAAAAAATGTGAGGTTGTTTTGTTTTTTTTAAAATAAATGTTATGCAATCGTTGTACGTACAGAAAAGAAAAGTGAATTTTCCGTTTGAGTCATGTGACATTTGAGTGATTTTTTTTTTTAAATGGGGACATTTGGCATGTTAAACCCTTCCTTCTAATGTACTGCCATAAATCACATGTTCATCCACTCACTATGGTGTTATCTACATGAGTCCCTTTGAACTTGGTCCTGTTTGTACATGTTCAGAATGTTGTCAGTTATTGTAAGGCTATAACATGTTTTGATGGTAGCATTCAAAAGCACAATTCCAAGACATTTATTCCCCTCTTATGTTTTGAAATTCAGTGCTATTGTAAAAAATCAGGAAGGAATACATATGCTTCTTTAAGGGTTAGTTATTCTTTGTAATCTGCTCACTGGAACACATAAAAATAAAGAAACAAACTCTTAACAAGCTGCTTTAACAATGAAGGTTTGGATTTCTAGTGTTGGATCGGGACAGGCCAGACTCCTTTTTTTTTCTTTTTTAATATGTTGTAGTTTAAAGAAATGCACTGACTTGAATTAATTATAAAACATGTCCTGATGCATGTTCTTTCTGAACAGAAGGTACAACTAAGACTTCTGTATTGCAGAAGCTCATTAGACATTGCATGTACTATTCTGGGCTCTGTGTTAGTCTTCCTGGAGATAGTGTTTTTTGGTAAATGTTTATGACTATGATCCAAAAGAGGTGCTTCCACTTATCTCAGCTTTAAGTGTTGCTTATTGTTTGTATTCTCGTTTAATGTAAAAATCTATTGTTCTCTCTGATTTATAACAGATTCATATTGATACCATTTTTTATTCTAACGTCATATAATATAATTGTAAAAACAGCCTTACATATTTTACAAACACATAAACACATTGTACTGTAATGTACACATGCATTCTCTGCACATATTTAACACACTGGACCCAGGCAGCAGATTGGCATTAGATGATAAGTACTTCTGTTCAAACTGACCAGAATTATTATTTGATGGTGTTTGGTAAGAAATCAGATTCTGTAAATTAATAATCCATCCACCCATTTTCTCTGCTTATCTGGATCCAAGCCACAGTCTAAGAAGAGATGACCCAATCTTAATCTCCCCATCCACCACCACATGTTCCTGTGGTGGGACATCATGGAGTTTCATGTATGCATTATACTCAGAAACCCAAACCACCTCAACTGACTCCTTCCTACGGGAGAAACAGCAGGTCTTCACTGTGAAGCTCCCAAATAACTCACATCTAAGGCTTGTATCTGTGATCTTATTCTTTTGATCATAACCATGGCCATAACAACAGGAATTTGAATATGAACCTGACATACTTGCTCCTCCACTTGAGACAGAAACTCATCCCTCATTTCCCCAGTGGCATTCTACCCTTTTCTGGCTGATAACCATAGCCTTTGTCATCTCTCATCCCTCCTGCTTCACAGTCAGCTGCAAACTGCTCCAGTGCTGACTGCAGGTCAATACTCAATGAAGTCAACAGGACCACACCATCAACACCATGCAGGTACATGAGCCCAAGACAGACAAATGTGAATCCGTTTATTACAGAAATTTTCTTCATTAAAGTCATGAACAAAATTGGCAGTATATCCAATGTTACATAATCAGAGCAAAAACCACAATATTCATCCTGAATTTTTCCACTACCTCTAAGGTAGCCTGAGGAGGGCAGTACCCCAAAGCTCGACCACACCCTTCAGTCTCCCTTCTTGAATATGACCCTTGTCACCAAGAGGCTCTGTCCTAGTATTGCAGAGAGATATCCAGTTGAACAGCCCCACAACATCCAGAGCTTTAAGGAACTTGGGGTAAATCTTATCCTTTCCAGAGTTTTGACTTACCTCAGTGACCTTATCCACAGAGATTGGCGAGCTAACCCCCAAGTCTTCTGCTCTGCTTCCTGAACAGAAAACATGTTCAAATTCCTTTAAATATTCTTTCCACTCTCCAACTATGTCCTTAGTTAAGGTCAACAACACCTAATCCCTACAGTACAAAGTGAAGGCAGAAAATTGTGTTTACCTCGCTAAATATCTGACAGTTTCCATGGCATCACCCCGGAATATGCAGACTAGAATATGGAACATTCGTTTTTGCAAAGATGACTGTCTAAAGCTGCATTCTGC